AATAGGACATAGTAGAAGAGCAGTATAGTACTGAAATAGTAAAATAGTAAAGTCCCGGGTGAACCGGCGCAGGTCGGTTTCCGAGATGCAAAGCGTACTGGGTGAACTGGAGCGGGTCGGTTTCCGAGATGCAAACGGCTCTGGTCGTGGTAGAATAGTATACTGGCAAATAGCATTGAAATAGTAAATAGGACATAGTAGAAGAGTAGTATAGTAGTGAAATAGTAAAATAGTAAAATAGTAAAGTCCTGGGTGAACCGGCGCAGGTCAGTTTCCGAGATGCAAACGACTCTGGTCGTGGTAGAATAGTATACTAGCAAATAGTGCTGAAATAGTAAATAGGACATAGTAGAAGAGTAGTATAGTACTGAAATAGTAACATAGTAAAATAGTAAAATCGTAAAGTCCTGGGTGAACCGGCGCAGGTAGGTTTCCGAGATGCAAAGCGTACTGGGTGAACTGGAGCGGGTCGGTTTCCGAGATGCAAACGGCTCTGGTCGTGGTAGAATAGTATACTGGCAAATAGCATTGAAATAGTAAATAGGACATAGTAGAAGAGTAGTATAGTAGTGAAATAGTAAAATAGTAAAATAGTAAAGTCCTGGGTGAACCGGCGCAGGTCAGTTTCCGAGATGCAAACGACTCTGGTCGTGGTAGAATAGTATACTAGCAAATAGTGCTGAAATAGTAAATAGGACATAGTAGAAGAGTAGTATAGTACTGAAATAGTAACATAGTAAAATAGTAAAATCGTAAAGTCCTGGGTGAACCGGCGCAGGTAGGTTTCCGAGATGCAAAGCGTACTGGGTGAACTGGAGCGGGTCGGTTTCCGAGATGCAAACGGCTCTGGTCGTGGTAGAATAGTATACTGGCAAATAGTGTTGAAATAGTAAATAGGACGTAGTAGAAGAGTAGTATAGTACTGAAATAGGAAAATAGTAAAATAGTAAAGTCCTGGGTGAACCGGCGCAGGTCGGTTTCCGAGATGCAAACGGCTCTGGTCGTGGTAGAATAGTATACTAGCAAATAGTACTGAAATAGTAAACAGGACATAGTAGAAGAGCAGTATAGTACTGAAATAGTAAAATAGTAAAATAATAAAATAGTAATATAGTAAAATAGTAAAGTACTGAGTGAACCGGCGCAGGTCGGTTTCCGAGATGCAAACGGCTCTGGTCGTGGCCGAATAGTATAATAGCAAATAGTACTGAAATAGTAAATAGGACATAGTAGAAGAGTAGTATAGTACTGAAATAGTAAAATAGTAAAATAGTAAAGTACTGGGTAAGTGAACCGGCGCAGGTCGGTTTCCGAGATGCAAACGGCTCTGGTCGTGGTAGAATAGTATACTAGCAAATAGTACTGAAATAGTAAATAGGACATAGTAGAAGAGCAGTATAGTACTGAAATAGTAAAATAGTAAAATAGTAAAGTCCCGGGTGAACCGGCGCAGGTCGGTTTCCGAGATGCAAAGCGTACTGGGTGAACTGGAGCGGGTAGGTTTCCGAGATGCAAACTGCCTTGCGCCATGCATCTCGGGCACGAGCTTTGCATCTCGGAAACCAAACCTTGCATGTCGACCGCCACAGTCCCCAAATCAAAGGTACCTTGCTGTGAGTGGTGTGGCCGGCCCGCAACTTTTTTGAAGTCTCGATGACTGCCGAGTAGACTGTACTATATGTGACTATGTTGCTGAGCCGCATCAACCTGAGTGATTTCAAGTATGGTTCTAGATGTGACAGTTGCTGTACCAGTATGGCTGCTTTATGGTGGCAGCCGCAAAGTTGGAAGATGCGCACCCAAAATTTCAGCACCCCACAATTGGAATAAAACACGTCTTCCAACTTTGGATTCTTCCAAGTTTGCAACCTTCGAACTTTTGATTACCGCATGAACCGCTCCAAATGCCGGGACCTAAAGTTGGAAGATGGGACCAAGCAGACCCAACATTGAATTGCAGTTTCTCCGTCTCTCTCTCTACAATACTGGAGTAATTGCAGTTTTTCTCCCTCTGCAATACTGGAGCGGCCATGGTATTTGCAGCTTCTCTCTTTCTGCAATATTGGAGCGGTCGTAGTAATTGTGCAACACTGGAGCGGTCCTAGGAATTGCAGCTCTCTCTCTCTCTCTCTCTCTCTGCAATATTGGAGTGGTCGTAGCATTTGCAGTTTTTCTCTCTCTGCAATACTGCAGTGGTCGTAATACTTGCAGTTTCTCTCTCTCTGCAATACTGGAGCAGTCGTAGTAATTGCAGGTTCTCTCTTTCTGCAATACTGGAGCGGTCGAAGTACTTGCAGTTTTTCTTTGTTTCTGCAATATTGGAGTGGTCGAAGTAACTGCAGTTTTTCTTTCTTTCTGCGATATTGGAGTGGTCGTAGTAATTGCCGTTTCCCTCTCTCAGCACTAATTACTGGAGCGGTCGAAGCAGTTGCGGTTTCTCTCTCTGCATTGCTGGAGCTGATTCCCAAAAACCGAAGTTGGAAGATACCGTTACCGCATCAACCGGTCCAAACGCCGGGACCTAAAGTTGGAAGATGGGACCAAGTCAAACCCAAAGTTGGAAGATGCCGTTGCCGCATTAACCGTTCCAATTGCCGCCTTCCAACTTTCCGGCGGCTATTGTACTCCTGTCAGCAACGTCCGATCCTCGGATGTCGCAAGGAGATGGTAGTGCTTTATCATGCAGTGTAGTGTTTTGATAAACACTACACTGGAGGAGGATGGTTGCTTCCGCAATTTTGACAAGTACGACGCGAAGACAGCTGCTTGGAAGCACGTCGGTGACCGGCGATCCTCTAGTCTTGAATTGGGCTTGCCCCTCGAGATTTATGTAGACACAGATACGTATGTGCATATATATATATATATATATATATATATCTGTATATGTAGTTCCTTTTCCGTAATTATATATATATATACACACACACACCTCTAACACCACAAACCCTGTTGCTGTTTGCGCTGGTTTCACGTTTTCCGGATGCCTTCTTACCCAGGCGGGCCAGCAGAACCCTTATACTTGCGCACTTCTTATCTGTGATTCTGGTGGTCTACCTATCAAGACCGAAACTGGGGAACTTCGAAAAAACCCGCCGAGCGATGCCTGCAGACAGCGCCCGACCTTGAGCAAAACGGGCCTTTAAAAACTAAAGCCACGAATCCTCAAAGCCTACTCACAAGACTTAAAGCCATAGACCGGCAGCCATGAATCTTGCAGTCAGAACGTTTAGCCCAGAATGCTACCTGACGGTTGTTGCTATGCCATTGCTCCAACTACAAAGTCTACAGCTCAAACTTCAGTTGTGCTCATGACTGGCTGCACGGCCTTACCGTGGTGTCTGTGTGTATGCATGTTTGTTTGCTTGCTCGTTGTTTCATGTGCGTGCATGTCTATTTGTTGCTTTTGTTGTTATGTGTTTCTTTTTTTGTGTGTTTTTGCTTGTTGTTTTGCTTGCCTGTTTGTCTGTTGCCACGGAGTCAGCAAGCTCGGCCAACACAGCCCCCCCCTCCCCCCCGAAGGTACAGCTCGATCTAAGTCTCCGCCCTGAACCACGAACCTCCGCCAAGCCTGAATCCTGAACCGTTAAGTGTATTCTCATACCATTTTGGAGGTTCCATATCATATAGTATAGTATAATGGGCCCCCAGACCCTATTCTAATTACCAAGGCCCCCATATTAACCCGAGCGTCAGGCGACTGCCATGTGCTTCCACAACGATACGGCCGCGATGGCCGATGCGCAAAGTCAGGCGGAGGCAGAGTTTGATTTTATTTCAACTCCGACAAAGGGGAGGTGTCAGGGTTGAGGTTTTTAGGGTTTAGGGTCTAAGGTTTAGGGATCAAGCCCCAGAGTGATTGGTTACATACTGTATAGCACTGTAGCGGTTACTACAAGGGCTCCATGTGCATTGTTCATTACAGTAATAAATCAGGACTGATGTCTAAATATGACGATGATGATGATGATGTCAATGACGATGATGATGCTGTTGGTGGTGGTGCTGCTGCTGCGGGTTCTTGCAGTGCTGATGCCCATTCCCGCTGTCAGCGTATGATTGCTTTGACCATATTTGATGTCACTACTGATGTGCTGACCTTAGCCGTGAAGTGGTTAAAACTATGTACTATCATCCTGAACTAGGTTTTGCTGTGCTCCTGCTGTACTGCTTGGCTGTGGTAATTCATGCTGCCAGGAGCTGATCTCACGATGGCTGAGCTGGCTCCAGGCCACTGATTGCGGAAGGGCGATCTGTTCTTCTTGATCTGTGTTGAGAAGCTTAGGAGCCGATGAACTCCTTGTTTTGACCCCCTGAGTCTTTTGTTGATCCCGGGGCAGCCCCCCTCCCCCCCCCCCGCCGGGCCATTTTGGTTCCGGTCTGCATTCCCACCCCCTATGTCTTTTTTTCTGATCCTCCATGTCTTCCCTTGAATCCCCTGGATTTACCCTGCATCGCGATCCCGATCTCGTGAGTCACTCCCTTCTATCTTTTTTGCTTATTGGCTGTATAAGGTAGTCAATCCTGAAAGTTTCAACTTTTATCTCCTTGGGTTTTGGGTCAATGAGTTTGTCACCTCGGAAGGCCCCTCCGCCACCCGGCCGACCCGACCCCCGTAGCCCGGCTAGCTGGACAAGGCCGAGGTCTGACGACCGATGAAGGGGTTCCGTCCTAAATCATCTAATGGAGGAACCTGATTAAGAAACCCTGGGCCCATAACCCCAAAAGAGTAGTCTTCAAGTAAGGAGCCCTAATAAAGGCCCAAGGTTTCTTAATCAGGTTCCTACATTACCTGCAAGCCAAGCCACGAAGCTGTCGTGCATCTGAATCAAGTTTAGTTTAGCTCTGAAGCAACCCGATACTGCAAAGGACTAGAACACCACGAACAACAAAAAGCAAAAACAAGTTCCGCGGCTGAGGTATTGTACATTCAGGGAACAGGGTTTAGAGTTTGGGGCCCCATGCTCACCATCCTCCGATTCGAGGCCCAAACCCACACGATGCCCTGCGTGGTCCGTTTCGACATCATGGCGCATCGACTGGGCCCGGGCAAGGCTGGTCCAGGGGGTGGTTTCAGTGGTTCGGGGTTGAAAGGTCTGGGAGCTCGACGGGCTTAAACAGGCCGTAGGGGTTTGTATCGGCATAGCGTAGACAGGTTCAGGGCTCTTTCAGTACGCCGGGGGCTTGGTCTAGAGATTTCCCAAGGGTAAACTCCCAGAGCATGACAGTGACGTAATCCTTTACCAAACCCTATAAACCCTGAGCCTGGCGGCCCACACTCTCGTTGGGCGGGATGAGGCGGCCGTGATGACTGGAGAGCTCACCGAGCTTGGCGGCTGCTTTTTGGGTTGGCCTGAGGGCCCACAGGCAGGGGCTTTCGGTTAGCTATTGATTCACGCGTAGGTTATGCGCATGTGGTGGGCATACATCTTGACAATCGACCTATGTGAACATGGGCCTGTCGGTCCACAGATAGTTCCACAGATAAACAAACCAAGAAATGAGCTGTGTATGTTCATGACAGGCGCATACCTTCAGCAGAGGAAGGCGAATACCCTTGGCAGAAAGACTGTGCCGCCTTTCCGGGCATCGTTTTTGCCTCCCAATATTGAGGTTGTACCTCGAGCCAGAACACTGCCCAACACTTACGACAAGAAGTTCAGTACGCAAGCAGAGATATATGGATGCATAGCCAGGTACACAGATAGGGGAATTATCAACAACAGCCGTGGAAAACCGTGACACCCGATGGATAGGGCATGTGTGCTGAGTTGCAGGCAGCAACGGTGCATTTGTGTCTACCCGTACATACATGCCGACAGACACATCCGGACGCCAAAAGCAAGGCCATAGGCGGATGGCTAGGTGTGTGATCCCTAGGCGCATGCTCCCAGTGCAGCAGCTTATCCAAGGGTAGAAGGAGGGACCCTTAATAAGGACCCCTAGGTATATACCCTTGATATAGCTATTATATACCCATTATATAGCCCCATTACAGGCTAGGGGTCCCCATTAAGGGTCCTTCCTTTTCCCCTTTGATTGTAGTTCCTTGTCTTCCGGCTATGGTTCATGTATCAAAGGGGAAAGGGAGGGACCCTTAAAGGGGACTCCTACCCTAGAACGGGGCTATATAATGGGTAGTATATCCTAGCTATATTCAGGGTATATACCTCGGGGTCCGTATCAAGGGTCCCTCCTTTTACCCTTGGAGCTTAGGCACGAGTGGACGGCACGGCCTTGGATGGAAACATGTCTTTTGCAAAGTTGGCATCACAACATGAGGAGCCTTCCATGACCCGACTATAATTTCGATTAATTCGAATACTAGCATTAGTAGCTATACTAGTACGACTATGAATATAAACGTTCCTCCCCCCTTGCGTTGTGGAGGTCGTCTTCAACGCGATGCTCCGCGCATGCTTCCGGGAAACTGTGGCGGTCCACTGAGCCCCAGCAGGTGTGGCGAAGCAAGAACAGAGGTCAGAGTTAGGGTTTATATAGGGTTTATGTAGGATTGAAAAGTCAGGACGGATAGAGCTTGTGAAGAGTCAAGAGCAATCAACACTACAAAAGAGGCTCCGGTGATCTTGCTGAGTCTCCAGCCGCTGGCATCGAGCAATCCATGCGCGCCAGCCTTTGACAAGTGCCGTGTTGTTAGTGCGACTTTGCTGTTTATACTGTTGATGATATGAATCCTGCATTACCCTAAGGACCCTAATCTATGGGAATTATGGTATATTCCTTACTATGGGTAATGCAGGATTTATATCATCGACCGTAATTTTGCTGCCTAGAACTAGTAGCTGGGAGTTTTCCATTTTGCTAGTTCCACACGAGCCACCTCGGTCAGTTTTGCATCGCTCCTTGGACGTTCCTTTCATGTGTTGCTGCTACTGCCAGTCGTTTCTGTTATGTTGGACAGTTGTCATCACCCCTGACCGTCGACAAATAATCACCAACATTGTGTTCCTGATGGCGGTTACATGATTTATGCCCCAAGGCCCCGTTTTCGGAACGCTAGAGAACTCGCGCTTGCTGCTGTCTTTTAGTGACGGACCGGTCGACGGTCGAGACCTCGCAAGATACCGAGATCACACCGACCAACGAATGTAAAACAGAACCAACCGCTTAGTTTTGCTGCCATCCCGGGATATGGATCCTTCATCGCTTGGGGTAATGCTGGATGTGGCAGTAACGGCTGTTGTGCAGAATTAGCTGAAGAAGGTGTAGCAGATCCAGGAAGCAAAGGTGCTGACGGAAGCCTGGATTTGCTGCATGCTCTTCAGCTGGTCATGCTGCACTGGACTGCCGTCACCACCACATCACGGCTCCGGTGAAGAACGTCGCAGCTGATCAAGCCTGCGGTCTTGTTTGGCTGCCTTAATGCGGCGATGGACCTGTGGAGTGTGGCTATGCCGTCGCTGCTGCTGCTGCTGCTGCTGCTGCTGCTGCTGCTGCTGCTGCTGCTGCTGCTGCTGCTGATTCTACATGTGCTGCTACACCTGAGTTCCACGAATGAGGAAGACACATTATCTGTATAACTATTGTACTGCATCGATTGTTGTTGTTGGCGTTGCTAGTGCATGTGTAGCCCGTGTCGTACCGTACTTCGTTTCCTGACGATGGTGGAACTGTTGTCGTCAGGAGGTAAAGCTAGACGCATACTGCAGCACCTCGCCGACAATGCGGACAAGTGCAGTGTCGGGGCCTGGATAATTACGAATATCGTACTATTTTCTTATAGTATATTGGGCCCCAAAACCCTATTCTCATCATTACCTGTGACCCCAAACCCTACAAAATAGTAGGCTATGACCCCTAAATTGGAAGGTCGAACCCTTAAGACGGTAGGTTTTAGGATCCCCAGGTTTCTACTCATTAAGGCCCCTATAATTACGGTAGTGTAATGGACCCCGAAACCCTATTCTAATCAATAAGGCCCTTATATCAGAGAACCCTTATAGATCCCTTATAGTAACCCTTATAGACCCCTTTAAAGGAACCAAATTCTGATTATTCGCAGCTGCATGGATTGCTCGAGCAGAATGGTCTCTCTGTGCCAAGCGCGAGCGAACAGGTGCACAAAAGGCCGAGGTTCTCAGAGACTCCAATATCCCCTAATTAGGGACTATATACCTTATGCTACTTAGGGATCCCAATATAATTTAAGGTACTACTGTATATATACCTTATATCATATTAGGGATCCTACTATAGTTTGAGGTACTATATACCTTATATCATATTAGGGATCCTACTATAATTTAAGGTACTATATACCTTATATCATATTAGGGATCCCAGTATAATTTTAGGTATATTCCCTAATTAAGGCTGGGTTCCATGTGTTTGGCGAACGAGGGTTGAGGGCTCTTGAAAGGCTCTGGGATTTCAGGGATTGAGGGTTTAGGGTTTAGGGTTTGGGTTTAGGGTTCAGGGCGTCTCAAGCCGTCATTGTGGCGAGGGTATCCAGAAATCGCGCGACATCTTTGTTTTGCAGTCAGATTATCAAGGCTTGGCATAAGGATATGGAGCTAGCAAACATGAAGAGTACCGGCCTGTGATAGATGTAGATGTAGGAGGATGTTCAGGTAAGTTTCTCATGGAACACAGCCGACCAAGCAAACCGTATTGTGTACGAAGCAAGCAGATTGCGACTCTCCTGTGTCTGCTATCGTCGAAGCAGGTGCTTGACCGGATCTCAAACGCAAGTGGTTTAGGATTTAGGCGGTGAGGTTTAGGGTAGATTCGGGCAGATTGTCAACAGGAGTGCTGATAGGCAATGTGTATGTACCACTATGGGCTATTCGACCCTAAAGATCCCTATTAGGACCCTATTAAGGGTAGATTAAGGTACCCATAAGGTCTAATAGCCCATAGTGGTACAGCACGGTACCTACCCTCCGGTCAACAGTCTTTGTGCGTGTCTAAACAGCTGTGACCGAAACAGTCCGCACACACATGAGCTCAGCCTAGCTGGTTCTTGTGACACCTGCCTGCAACACAAAACACGTCTCGCAAGTTTGAGCTCGGTCTAGCTGGTCCTTTGACTCTCCCATTCCGTTCGAGCGAACGCCAGTGTGAGCTCAGCCAAGCTGCCTGCAGTGTTTGACTCTCACATTCCCCTCGAACGACCGCGCACATGCCTCTGTCCTTCCGCCGTTTCACAAGTCGGGACACACCAATGCATGAATCCAGCCAAAACACCTTCCGCAAAACACGCAGGTTGCTTCAATATCTCGACATCGACGAGAGCGCGAAAGAAGCGCTGTCTACGATACCAGTTGAGAATCAGGTGAGCCCCTTCTTCTGCGTTGTCGATGTCGATGCCCCGCCGCCCCACTCCAAAACCCGAGCCGTGAAATTCTGGCGTCTGTTGCCCTAAAGCCCCTCTAACCCTAAGCCGGGATAGGCCGGTCCTGTCTTTTCTAGTGGCGGGTTCATGTTAGGACCTCTAAGACCATTGAGGTTGCAGCATCTCAACGGTGCCTTGCTTCGATCGGCTCGGTTTTGGCTTCTCTGCAGGATGGCACACGTGTCCACGACGTAAAAAAAACATGCAATTCCTCGCTGTGATGACAAGGTTGGTTCGGTTGTGTCATGAACAGAGAGTCAACTCCGCGTTGCTACATTAAATTGCTGTTGCAGCCGTGAGCCTTGCATATGTCACTTATGAACGCATGCCGCCTGTTCGTGGCTTTCTGGACACACTTCGCAAGATCAACACCTCGGTTTTGTGGTTGAAGTCTGCCAATGTGCCATTGCTTGCCACCCTTGTTCTTGTTCTTGTGCTTAAACTCTCGCTTGAAAGCCGTAGACAGCCTCACTTCTCACATTCTCGAAGTGCTGTGTGGATTCCGTTGCGCGCTCGTTGGTGGCACTACGACAAAAGCTTTGCGGAAAGCCCAATGGCCCCAAAGCGAACAAAAATTCTTTCAGGTATCCTAAGTCTAAGTGTTACATCTCTACATTAATGCCTGCAAGACCCTATGGCAGCCTAATCAGACTTAGTCATTTTCAAATCGTGCAGTGTATGTTGTGCTGAACACCCATCCATTTCTTCCGTCCCTAAACCGAATCCCGGTATCCTATATATATATATATATATATATATATATAGACCCAACTATAGAACGAATCACGGGGTTCCTTTTTTTAGAAACTGTAAAGGAACCGCAACGCTTCAGACCTGGAGGTTGAGCTGCTGGAGGAGTTGACTGAGCCCATGCCCCAGTGTTTTTCATTCACAGCCCTGAAATTATGGTAGGATCCCCTGATAAGGTATAAGGTATGTAGTACCTTCAATTATAGTAGGATCCCGACTATGATAAAAGGTGTATATAGTACCTTAAATTATAGTAGGATCCCTAATAAGGTATTAGGTGTGTAGTCCCTACTTAGGGGATATTGGAGGCTCTGAAAAACCGGCCTGTTTTCATGGACAGCGGGCAGAGGAACAGTTGTCAGCAGCAGCATGCTCAGCGCCCAGTCTGCCATACGAGCAACAACAGAGCCTCATGGGATCTCTGGCATTTTCAATCGACGTTTAAGGAAAGATTCGACATTGAATAGCTTCTATGTGTACAAAATACATACGAGTACCACAAACGTGCGCTGCCAGGGTGGCCAATACAGTATGTACAGTTATACGGGTGGTTGTCAATATTATGGGGTCCCCTTTTTGGGTCCTTATTGTAATACGGCACCTACTATTTAGGGTACCCAGAAGGGACCCTAATTTTGACAACTACCCATGTAGCTAGTGAATAATTATTGCTGGGCCGTTCAGGGCTCATGTCTATCATGGTGTAAGGCTCTCCCGATAAGGTCTAGAGTTTTGGGTTTGCAACCTGGGATTCCTGGCGGGCGTGGAGGATGAAGAGGACTAGAATGTAGGGGCTGTCATAATGTGGAGAAGGGTTTCGGGGGCTCCTTATTAGCACAACTCTCGCACAATATATTCCCCCAACCCTATTCTAATGATTCAGGCCGCTACGTTACCCTTAAGTTGGAAGACTTAATGAAGACTTTCCAAGGGACTACAGCAGAGTCCGGAACCACTCCGCATTCATCGTCAGCAACGTCAAGCGGGTGAAAGATGGTGCCCACGAGCCTGTTTGGTGAGGTTGAACCTAAGCCCCTAAACCCTAAACCCCTAAACCCTAGACCTAGACCCTAAACCCGAAACGCTAAACCTTTAACCCCTAAACCCCCTAAACCCCTAAACCCGGAGTCGTGACTTCTCACGCTGCCTGTCACACCCTCACCCTAAGCCCCTACCCATAGGCCCCAAAGTAGTTCCTTTTTCGGAATACCTTATAGGATTCTAAATATGAACCCCAAAAAGGAACTACTTTGGGGCCTATGGGTAGAGCTGACCCCAAGAGACGGCCTCCAGCAGCCCCTAAAATTTGCCCAGGGGAAGGGACGTGATTGGTCGGAGTTCAAGTTGAGGGCGAGTCTTTTGTTTTGTAGCATCTGTGGGGGATCCAAAAAGGCTCCAGAAGTTTATGGGTCTTCGTTGTGGTTCGTCTTTGTCTGACCAACTTTTATTTAGGATCCCATAAGGTAACTAGAAAAGGAGTAGTACTTGCGGTGCAGGGGTTAGATTTGGGGTAGTAGGAATCAGCACCGAGGGGAGAACGGCGAAGAGGCAGCTAGGGTGAAGTCGACGAGTTCGGCCTTGTCCATTTTTACACTGAAGCTTTTGAGCCTGAAAGGTATCGTACTAGGACCCTTCAGTCGGTTCATGCTTCTGGTGAGGCCGTCGAGAACCCAAAAGCTTTTCGGGAGCCCAGCATCTTGTTCAAAGGCGACCCCAAACTTCAAATTTCCAGGCTTTCATGAACTGACCCTCAGCCCCTGTGCGCCGCTTCAAGTAACGGCATCATAGACTCGTCAACTTAATGGTACGACAGAGGCCTTAATAATTACATATGACATTTTTGGGGTTCCTTGTTATAATTGAAGCATGGCAGGCCCCAAAACCTGTTTTAATTAATTATTACGGCCGCGATATTATAGCACTCTTCTGGAAACCCTTATAGACCCCTTTAAAAAGGAACCCTATAGTAGACTCTTCAAGCTCCAACAGCCTGAAAGCTGCAACGAACCTTCTGTTGCAAAGACCAGGTACCTATCGGTCCCGGGCACCCAAGGACAATGGCCGGGGCTCCTGGCACAGATGGGAGTTTCCGAAAATAGGGGACCCTCATATAGCACACTAAATACCAAGATCCGGCAGATGTGTTCATTGTATAGAAGCCCGAACAGTGACTTAGTCATAAGATTACGCCAAGCTACATCGGCACCCTAGTCTAACATTTTAGGCTCTTCCACTCCACCCAAGCGGCTTGGGCGCTTAGGGGCTTAGTTTAGGAGTGTTGGCTTCTCTTACTGGGGAAAAGGAGGGACCCTTAATGGGGACCTCTACCCTATAATGGGCTATATAAGGGGTATATAATAGCTATATTAAGGGTATATACGTCCCTTCTTTTACCCTTGGCTTCTCAGTCTCCAGGGAGAAAGCCGAGCATCGTGCAGTTCTGCTGGAAGCGGCCTAGACCCTAAAACCCGAGACCCTTAAACCCCTAGACCCCTAAACCCCCTGAACCTTAAACCCTAACCCTGAACCCCTAAACCCTATAGACCCCTCAACCCTAAGCCCTCAACCCTGTTTTAGGCTCCCAGAAGGACTCGATGTCGGATACAACCGGCTGTCGGGAGATTTGTGGGGCCTCCATCGTGCTGACAAGAGGGGTACCGAAGGCACTTAGGGGGTTTAGGGATTTAGGGTTTACGGGGTTTAGGGTTTCGGGATTTAGGGTTTAGGTTTTTTTTTGGTTTAGGGGTTTAGGGTTTTCATGCGCTTAATTCCCGGCACAGCTTGCATTGCTGCTGCTACTATTCGCGCTGTTTTGGTTTTGCCGTGTTGCTCAGTTTCCCACAGCTTTCTAGAGCGCTTGATAGTATCCTCATAGAACCTTGACAGTACGCTGCAGTGCTTCAGGGAACCTTCAACCTCCATCCTACCTATAGTCTCCATTGTAGTTCCTTTTTTTGGTTAACCAAAATCTCTATGATAGGGTTGTAACCATAGAACTGGCTAACCAAAAAAAGGAACTACACTGGAGACTATAGGTAAAGCCCAAACTTGGGGTAGCAGTCCAGCTCGGAACTCGGCCTGGACATGTGTGGTGTGAGGTTTTTTTTTCAACCAGTCCATGTCAAAGACAAAAACCCTACAGAACTCTTGACAAAAAAACCTAAAGCGCCTAGACCCCTAAACCCTAAACCCTTTCGGCGGAAAGTCTTCAGATGTCTCCTGCACGCCATCGTGAATCTCCCCTAAATTGACTCTAACTTGCCTCGTCAAGCGTGTCAGGTGATGGATACAGCCATAATGACTTCAGGGAGTACAACAGCCGTCGTGATCGACATTATGACTACACCAGCTACCAGGAGGAAGCTGAGGCTTGCGAAACTGGGATTTCGCGTAAGTGATCACATGGGTGATTGTCAAAATTATGGTCCCTTCCTGGGTCCCTAATATAGTACGGCACCTAATATTTGGGTACCCAAAATGGGACCCTAATTTTGACAACCACCCACATGAAGAGTTATTTTGCCGTGTCAAGTTGGAGCCAACCTGATGGCTGTTCCGGTTGAACTTATACTCTGAGCTAATACCTGCGTGGTACCACGAGCAGGAGCAAGAGCGGAACTGGCAGTCGACTTCACATCTCTTCTCGGAGCCGTAGCAGCAGAAGTTGTAGTCAATCGTCATGGCAGCCGTGGTAGGGCGGTCCCGAACTCCCCTCGCACGGTTTGTGCAGCTCCAGTGCCAGTCCCTCGTACAACGCTCTCTTGAAGGGAAGTCCTCCATCCACACGGCCAGCGTAGTGCTCTCCGGATGACGAAGTTAAGACGCTCTAGCAGCAGCAACGTAGATGTTGTGTGGTGGTCGGGTGCCGGTTGAGTCGGTGACGTTGTGTCGCTTTGAGCGAATTGTCAAGTTGTGCAAAGCAGGAAGGATGTCTATTGAATTTCAAGGGGTGTATTGATATGTATGCTGTTGCAGTTCACCTCGCTCCACTTCCTTGCTGGTGTATCCGTATCATCATGTTCACAGTAATAATAGTAATATCATTATTATTATTGCTATTGTTATTGCTTTTTATTATTATTGCTGGTGTATCCGTACCCTGTTCACAGCTTTGGGACCATCTGCATCTCCGATTTGCATCGCCTTTTTTGGAGGCCCGGCTGTCCAGCAGCTAGTACTCGTGATCCTGATTCCTTTCTGGCCGCAAACGCACCGCTAGCAGGGAACACCTCCACACTCCACTTGTCGAGATTCAATTGTCATACCCGGTGATCCTCATCACTTCCACACCGCGTCGGTGACCACCTGCAGGTCTGATTCTCAGGATACCTTTTGTCAAGCCATGGTTCTACACCGCACAGGTGGCCAATTCACCTCAAGACAGCTTCGCCTGGTCCGCCCTCGACGAGAAGGTTGACAGCGCCGGGGTTTCGGCTTTATGGCTTAGATGCCTCGGAAGCGTCGCATCAAACTTGAAGATGGGCGTGGACGGCCTGTGGTTTCTTGTAAGGGCCCTGAGGGGTTTCCGGACAAAAACCCTCATCCGGGAGTGATGTGGACATTTCAAAGTTCTGAACCCCCCAGAGCCCTAGAAACCTGAAAGAGCCCCGATAAACCTCTTAATGCAGCGGCCTTCGTACCTAGAACAAGGTTTGGGGGGGCTCCTCATTATAACCATAGTCTATAGTCTATAGTTTAATATCCCCCAAGACCCAATTCTTATTAACAAGGCCCCTACATTATTTCCGGAGGCTTCGATGGTGGATCCCTAGGTTGCGCCTTGCTCTACAGGCACATAGGCTGCCTCAGTCTTGTCCAGGTGACACTTGTTGAATGCTGTACTCGTAGTCACTATAGTTGATGATGGTATACTATACATATACATATATATATATATATATATACATACATATATACATATATATATATATATACATATACATATATATATATATATACACATATATATATACATATATATATATATGTATATATATATATATATATGTATATATATATATATATATATATATATATATATCCCACGACGATCTGCAGGATTTGTTTTGCTGTTATTGTTTCTCAGCTGCGTCTACTGCCACTGCTGCGGCCCGCCACCTACGACTACCAACACTTCGGCCACCAATACTCGTCATACTTCTAGAACGATGGTTTTGACACCAAGGGCCCGTCGTTAAAGCTGAGGCAGCTTGTGTCATGCGGTATGACACCACTGTCATTTTTCGCAGCTTGGCTTGGGCAGCGGTGCTATCAAGATTGGCTTAGGCCTACAAATATGAAGCCTCAAGTCCAGGGCAACTTAGAGCCGTTTCGATGGAAATTCCTCTGTTCAACAAGGCACCAAGTTTGGCACTGTCGAAACCCTGAGCCGGACCTGACGTCAAATCCTGACAGTCGAACTTTAAACACTAAAGCCCCTACAACCCCAAACTTATATGGAACCTTATATCCCACCCTAAACTCCTAAGCCTCAAAACCAAGTATACATCTTGAAACCCACCGTAAAACATAGCCACACGGCATGCGAGAGCCATGGTCGATGCAGAAGCTGATGCTGGCGAGGAGGACGCATTTTTGAACACCTTATAACAGGGCATTCATGTCCAGCGGTATTTAGGATTCGGTCATCAGGGTTCTTGTATGTTGACTATGATCAAGCAATGGCACGGCAGGTGAAGTTGTAAACATCTTTTCTGCATCACTGTCTTCACAGCTGTCAGTTGTGCGGCAAAAATAATGTTGCCATCTAGTGCCTGCCATCGCTACCAGAAACATACGGCAAGAGACCAGACAAAGTTGTGTGGGAACCATGGAAACAAGAAAAGATCAGGATTTCTGTGGACACGCCACGATCCGCCGTCAGATCCGCAAATGCGTCGGTAATGAAGAGTCCAGATGGTCGTTTGACTTCAATGCCTTATGCATGTTAACAGGGTTGTGGAGATTGTGGTACCTTTGGTACGGCCCCCACTCAGGAATAGTTGAATAATATGCATAATACAGATACATTAGGACCTTAATAGTAGCCCTATTATGGACTCTTACTGTATGGGGGCAGTACCTAAGTGGTACGGTCTTTATATTTGGGAACTCGAAGTCCCTAAGGAACTCTGTTCCAATCAATAAAGGCTCCGATATTGCATACTTCGGTTCTACGGGGGCCGATAGCAATGTCTGGCACCTTCGACGACTAATCCTTCGGAGACGCGAACCATCGCCATCGAATGTGCGCATCTGCTTGCGAGGCTTGGTGAAACCCGTTTCACTTCGATGCTGATGACTTCCCAGGTTTTGAGCTACTTCTCGCTTGCTCTACCAGATGCAGTCACCGATTGTAATGTGGATCAGAAAGCAAACCCAAAACAGTTACTACTACTAATGGCACAGCTACTACTACTACTACTACTACTACTACTACTACTACTACTACTACTACTACTACTACTACTACTACTGCCACTCGTGGCATGGCATCAGTCGCTAACAGTCAAATGTGAGACTACTTTCAATACACAAAACCTAAATTTTCAACAACCTGCATCATGATCCCTCCCACATGTCCAGGCTTGCACTGAACTCCCTTCTTCTGCGGCCTCCCTCCACGAGCTATCCGAGTTGCTTGGCCAATGAGACGCTAAGATGCGGCACTGAGCAATTAGAACAGCCAGCATTTTGGGGAATACCATAGTTTTGCAGGACTACTGAGGGGATGATTTGTTGTTCAGGCCCCTAGAATAGGGTCTACGGGGCTTCGGGTTTAGAAGGGCGAACAGCGTTTAGGGTTTAAAGGCCCAGAACAGGGTTCGGCACATAGATTCATTGATAGTAGACCCATGAAAGAAATAGCAGGGGAAAGAGAAAGCCAAGCATGAGATTGTTTCCCAAAAGTTTGAATATCGCTTTTCCTTTCCCCCAACAAACTGTTCTGAGGCTGCTGATATTTTTCGAGCTGGGCTTCTATGTGTAGGATACATCTAGAGATGTTAGTTCGGGTCTTGAGGGTCTTAAAGGGGTTTGGTTTTGAGTTTAAGGTTTGAGGGTTTCGAAATGTGGGGAGTTTGGGTACCAGCATGGTATGGCCACGAACCGTAAACGCCTGGAATCCTGGGTGTGCGTTCGCATTTTCCAGGATTTAGGGTTTAGAGAAATATGAAAACGCCTGGAATCCTGGGTGTGCGTTCGCAGTTTCCAGGGTGCAGGGTTTAGAGAGATATGAGCTGCAAAAGGTGTCGGAACCGTCGCTGTCGGTTTCTCTGGCCGCGTGCTGGAGCTTGTTGAGCACTACAGAGGCCACCCGAAGCCGAGTTGTCACATTTTGCATACCACCCAAAAAAAATGTTAAAGTAGTACCCCGATAAGTCTTCTCATGCCGCACTAGCCGCTATAGGTCCCGTAAAGGAACAGGTTACCTACTCAGCTTAGATAGGTTCTGTGCTCTGTGACCAGCCGAGGAAAGTCGTGCAGTTGACCAAGGCACAGTCGGGGTTCCCCTAAAACCTTATACTTACCTTTGGTTAGTAGTGAATGGAAGAATGGTAGTAATAGTACTTATAATTGTACCCCATTCCTCCATTCCCTATGAACTAAAGGTAAGTTTTCTAGAAGCCAGGAACATGGATTTAGGAGGATTAGTGTGAGGTTCCCTTAAACTTTACCTTAAGGCATGAGGGTTATGATGTTCCAACTTTCTGGCTTCTGCCATAATTCTTGAATCCTGGGGAGGGTTGAGGGTTCAGGCAGGCTACGACCCAGCCCCAGACTCCCTGACTTTCGGCTGAGGGCAGAGCTTTTGTAGCTGTGAGAGGTTGCCGGCTTAGGGTGACGGCCTTTGTAAAGGTTCCACACGTTTGGGCCCAACTGCCTCCGGGCTCGCCACCCTAGAGTTCTCCCCCTCATAACCAAAACCCTATACTTCCGGAACCTTGCCAGCAACCCCAGACCCTCTCAACCCCTAAACCCCTCAGCCCCTAAACCCCCAACCTAAACCCTAAACCTCAAAACCCGGAATAAACCCTTAGAGCCCTATATAAACCGTAGCCCTGAGGCCGTCGTCTTCCTCTACACCCGGAGCGACGGCCACGAGGTGCGGCGGACGCTTTCAGAAGCCGCGGCCGAAGAGGAGGCCGCCAGATCTTCGGGACGCCCAGTGTTTTGGGGTTTAGGGTTTTTCGTGTTTGGGTGGTTTAGGGTTTTTGGGGTTTAGGATCCCATTTTTTGGGGTCTAGGGTTCAGGGGTTCAGAGTTTTATGTTTTACGGTTTAGGATCCCATGCAGCGAGCAGCCAATCTTTTGGTTTTTTGGGGTTTAGCGTTCAGGGTTTTGGGGTTTGGGTTCATACCATGTAGGGAAGAGCCATTTGTCAGGGCCCCTGAACCCTAAACTCTACATCCTGAATGCTGTACACAGGCTCAGCGCGGCAGGTCTAAATCGAGCTTGAGATTTGCATTTTAGACTATATGTAGGATGCCAGGTTAAGATGACCGACTACATCCCCCGATCGTCCCTTTGCATCTTACCTACCATCTTGTACGTATGCTATACCGCACACGCCCCTCTGCCTCGTCGAGGTTCTCCGAGCTTTGTTTTCGTGCGGGACTTGCATCCTAGTTGCCCCAAACAGCCTGTTTCAATTCTTCTGCAGTTGAAGCAGCTCACGGCGGCCGTTGCCAAGAAGCTGGAATGCCACCGCCAGCATGCGGAAACTCGGTCTCCCAAAGGTTGATTGGTTTGGCTAGGAGTTTCAGTTTGAGACGTTGGGGTTGCGGGTTCAGGGTGAATTGATTTTGAGTGCCACTGAGGGTGTGCCACAACACATGGAACCCCATATTTAGATATCTTTGTTTAAGCCCCCCCCTTCCCGCGAATTAAAGAAACATCGTTACACTGAGCCCTGACTGTGCCAGGAGCTTTTTTTCAGGCCCGGCCTAGTCTGTCCACTGGAACTGTTTTTTGGGACCCTCACCCCCTAAGTCCTAAACGGTCTTAAACCCAAAACCCAAAACCCTAAATTAGAAGGATCCTGGACTCTGGCCTCGCTTGTTTGGATCCCAACTCCCTTCATCGCCACGACCCCAAACACGGAAAGTCTTGAACCCTAAAAACCCTAAACCCCTAAAAGTCGCAAAACGGCGTTCAGAAAAAACACCTAAAACTTTAAAAAAAAAAACTAAACCCCCGACACCCTGATGAGCCCCTAAAGCCCCCTACACCCTTCTAAACCCCTAAACAGCCGGAACCCGAACCCCTAAACCCTTTTAGTAACCCTTATGGGAACCCTTATGGTAAACCTCTCTAGACCCCTTTAAAGGATCCCTTAAAAACCCCTAAGCCCCTAAAGCCCTTCTACTCATTCGATGAGCTTCGTCCCGAGGCCAAGGCCAGCAGCAGGCCAGATCGCACGCCCGAAAGCTTGGGGATCGGAGCTGGCGGCTTTCGGTGAGGGGGGTTTGGGTCTAGGGTTTGGGCTTTAGGCTTAGGGTTTGGGGCTTAGGGCTTAGGGTTTGGGGCAACACGAGGTTTTGAAGCAGCATGTTCAATGCAGATAAACACACGCCTTAGTATACTATCATACACGATAATGTACTGTTAGTAGCTATACTATGTTATGCTATACTACTATGAAGTTACTATTTAGCATACTTTAACCTACTGTAATATGTACCGTTGTATACTGTAATCTGCAAAACATACGATCAGGGTCTGAACACTTACCAGTACTATTGCTTGGGCTCCTATCTGTAACTAAGATACCCAAGACCCTTTTCTGGCTATCCAGGCCCCTATGCTATGGACTTGATGCATACTTTCTGCAAGGTGTTATCCGATTTTTTTACGCATTGTCATAGCTACGGTGGTCTGGTAGCGCGGCTTGAAGCTGATGTCGACTCTCACTCCAACTTCTAGATGATGTGATTGAGGGTTGAAGGTTCCGTGGGAGCAGCTCATGGGTAGCATCCACAAGCCCGAAGTCTTTCGAGTTCGGGTTTTCAGTGTGAGGGCATACAGAAGGGCCCCAAATCAGCTCGTGCAGGCTCAATGGACGAGTGGAGGAGCGATGGATTGCTTTTGGGGCACTGGCGAGGTTGATGCACTTGGAGCCTAAACGGGCTTGTGGAGACTACCCAAAAGACAACTTAGAAGCCGAAAAGCCCGACAAGAAACTCCGTAGTACCTGCTACAGAGCCATTGGACGCACCACCCTAAACCCCTAAACCCCTAAACCCTAAACCCTACGGTTGATGATACAAATCCTGCATTACCCAGAATGAGGAACATACCATAATTCCCATAGTTTAGGGTCCTTAAGGTCATGCAGGATTTATATCATCAACCCTAGCACCACCTTTGCTTGGTATACACCCTAAACCCTAAACCCCTAAACCCTAAACCCTAAACCCCTAAACCCTAAACCCTAAACCCTAGCACCACCTTTGCTTGGTATACCTGTTTTCCAGCTTTCTCGGCGGAAGGGGCTGGAACTGAGAAGGCCCTTTACCAGACCCCAGTTGGGTTCAGGGTTTAGGGTTTAGGGTTTAGGGGTCTAAGGTTTATGGCTTAGGGTATCCTGTGTTGTTATCAGGCCGAGACTTTCCATGAAGCCGTTCTTCTGAGGGTAGTCGGACGAGATTGGCACGCCATCTCCCACTCCAAGGCCATAGTCATTGTCCTGAGTGTGAGGAAATGGAGCGGCGCTATGCCTCGCAAGTGCGCGAGGTGCTTCAGAGGGTTTTGGGAAAAGGTTGGGTTTGCAGTTTGTGCTTGAAGCATGGCAGGTGTGGAGTATGAGCTACTAACTCGAATGCTGATGGCCAGCGTCAGCATCAGCATCTTCTGTTTCTTCCCGGCCTTTTTCATCATCCCCGGCTCCAGCTTGATAGCAATTTCGTTGTGTACATTGGGTCTTGTTGCGATGGCTGCACAGATGATGACCGCGATGATGGTGATGCTGGTCATTTCTGGGTGTATATATATATATATACACGCTATTTCATTTATTTATGTATTTCATCTGCATCTATATCTGTATCTGTATCCATATATACATATATATATATATATATGTATATATGTATGTATCTACGTACATGTATATGCACATAGATCTCAAGGATGCCCTCGCCCATCCCCGATTGCAAAAGAGTGTTAGGTTGTGCGAAACGAAACTACCCACAGGCTCCATAGAAGTTCCTCTTGGGGATTACCCTATAGGATTCTATATATGAACCCCAAAAAGGAACTACTATGGAGCCTATGGGTACCTGCAAAGATCTGCGCGGATCCCTGGGGCCATGCAAGACTCAAGGTGCAAGTTGGTTGCACAGACTGGCGGCGAGAGTGTGGTGTCAATCAGATTAGATGTTGGGCACCAAGGAGAGGTCTTGTAATGTAGGGGCCTAATTAGAATAGAGTTTGGGGGTATATTAATTATGCTTCAATTATATTAATTACCCTAAACCCTAAACCCTATAAGACTAACGAAGCCCCAAAACCGCAAAGACAGCGGGCCAGGCACGGCAGACGGTCGACGGGCTGCGTGCGGCCACGCAGAAACGACACGAGGCAGGGTTTCACTAGCAAGCAAAGACACGGAACTACTTGCATGACGGTGCTTCCTTCAGCTCGCGTGACAAAGCTATTCAAAGCCCTTCTCGAAGGCTGCAGAAGCCGCAGCGGCCGCCCGCGCAACGCACCGTGCGTCGCAGGCGACATCGCTGCGGCGCACTGCCGAGGACTGATGTGTCGAGCTATGTTATGTTAACTACATACGAACTCCCTGATCTCTTCCCACGAAAGTCACTCGCCGTGTAGGGTTCGGGGAACTGGACACATATGCTGGACCTGAAGCGTAATGTAGGGCGTAGTAATAATTAGAATAGGTTTTGGGGTCTGTTATAGTACAACTATACAATAAGGAACCCCCCCCAAAACCCTGTTCGAATTATTAAGGCCTCTACATTCGAGCATCGCCCTGGAGCTCCCGCAGCTATGAGTCGTCATGATTCAGTAGCCTTCTGTTAGATGTCAGATAGTCTTCCCGGGCCTTGTCGCCGGACTTGCGGTTTCTTAGGGGTACTTAGATGTTTTTTAATTTTTGGTTATTGTAATCCCTAAGAAACAGCTTAAATGATAATTTTTGCTAGGGTTCTAAGTTCAGTATAGTTTAGGGGGTGCCTTGGCCTTGTTGGTGTTTGCATTAGGCCTGGAGATACGATCTGTATACCTCTACAAGCAGACGGAGCCCTTAGATCATAGGGATCCTTAGGGGTGTAGGGGGAAGGGGGGGTAGGGGGCCTTAAGGCCCATAATAAGGACTAATAAGGCCTATTTAAGGAAATATAGTCCCCATACACCCCTCCCCACTTTATTCTCGAAGGATCCCTATGATTAGAGAAGCCCTGAAGCCGCCCAAAAACCCAGGAGCTGCGGAATCGGCTCAGCGCGGCGGAGGCCTGTGACACCTGCATGGTGGTTGCCTGGGGAAACATGTAATATAGGGGCCCCAGTAATTACCTACTTTATTATACATTTGGGGGGGTCCTTATAATGGGCTCCAAAAACCGATTTTGATTATATTTAGTCCCCTATATAGAACCCTTATAGTAGCACTCATAAGAACTCTTTGAACGGAACCCTCATGGGGCATTTAGGGTTCGGGGTTTAGGGTTCACGTTGTTTGGCCTATGGCTTTAATTGTTTTTTAGCTAGTTGTGAGCCGAAGGCGGGCAGACCACAGAAGACCTTTAAGAGCAAACTTTATAGAAGGGCCCGCCCCAAAACCTCCTTGCTCAGGGCCGTGCGACCTGCGACGAGCAGTGGCTAATCCGGCAGATAGCTGCAGAGACTCACCGCGAGAGGCGTGAACTCGAGAAGAGGCCCAGTCTGCCGTGTTTGTTGGAGCTTTAGGGTTGGTGTTGGTTGTTTAGGTGGCAGTCCAATTTTGTGTGTTTGTGCCTTACGGGGCTTATTTATGCTTATGTGTTTAAATCCTGTTGTGGGTTTACATAGGGTTTTAGGGATCACTGGTTGTGGATTTGGGGTGGGGGGGGTTGTGGGTTGATTGGTAGGGCATAGTGGTTTAGGCTTCAGAGTTTCGGACTTCGGCAATTCTTTCTTATGAGATGTGCGGACTGCTGACCGGTTAAAGCTTTTCTGGCAGATTTGATCGCAGCGCTCATAGGCTGTACGAAGACCCTACATTCCACAGGTGCTGTAGGCTTGAGGCTAGGCAAGTCTCATCTCCTTCTCCTGAACTTCGTCCGATCACACAGACAAACACCTTTGCAGAGTACAAATACATCTAAAGAGAAGGAACACGCATGCAGACACACACACACACATATATATATATATATATATATATATATATATGTATGTATGTATGTGCGTACACGCTTCCGTACATACATACATACATACGTACATACATACATATGTACATACGTACATACCTACTTACTTACTGACATGCAGACATGCATCCAGACGACCAATCTCTCTGCCTCTCTCTCTCTCTCTCTCTCTTTGTATCTTTCTGTCTTTGTTTCCTTTCTTTCCTCTCTTACATTCACTCTTTCTCACTCCACTCTCACTCGTCGCTCTCACGCTCACTCTCACTCTCACCTCCCTGCCTCCATACGTCCGTCCCTCCCTGCCTCCCTCCCTCTCTGCCTCACTCACCACAAGTGTTTCGCTTGCAGCCCATCTCACGCAGGTTCGAAGAAGATGGCCGGCAGATGAAGGCCCAACACGCAGAGCTCATGGAGCAGCTGGCCGAATGCAGGAATGCACTTGGGTTTGGGCTTGATTGCACGGATTGTAGGGGTCCCAACATCAGACGAAAGTGGGACATGAGCAAGAGAGTAGACGATTACAGGAGATGTCCCGATTATTCCCGATTTTTTAATACCACGATGTTGCCTCCGCTGAGTTGCAAGTATAGCTGTGTGAGAGCCTCTCAAGTGAGGACAGAATGGTTCAAGTGTTACGGTGGAAGGGGAAGAAGGTGTGCAACGGATGTCCATGTCTTCTCATCTTGTAGCTTAGTCACGGCAGTGCAGCGGGTGGTTGTGGCTGCGAAAGGAGGATGATACTGTTTTGCACAAGCTTACCTTGTACATGCATGTATATATGCCTGCACACGTTGCATGCATCAATGAACTTAGGTATGCGTGGTGCGCATCGCCGGTACGGCATGCTGGCATGCATGGCATGTCTGGTATGTCAGCAGGGCGCAGACTCATGCATTCATCCGTCTGCGCCTGCCATCACATCCTAACATAGGAGTCTTAAGAATTACCCATGCTATCTTTTTTGGGGGGAGAGGAGTTCCTTGTTATAGTTATAGTATAGTGGGCCCATTCTAATGGTTAAGGCCCCTATATTATAACCTTACAGATCCCTTATAGTAACCCTTCAAGGAACGGAACCCCTTTAAAGAACCCTATTCTAATTATTCGGGCCCCTATATTACTTTCACCCAATTTTCGACAAGCCCGGAAAGCCTAGGCAGCTGCGGGGGGAGAAGGACGACCGAGTGCAGGAGCCACCGACTATAATATAGGGGCCTCAACAAGTACCTATACTATTTTGAGGGGTTCCTTGGTAGAAGTACCGTATATCTCTGTTCTAATTATTGAGGCCCGACATTCGGCCACGGGTTTCTGCTAGGTCAAAACGGCAGAAACACCGAAACAGAGCACGACAAGGCATGCAGCTAGGATATCGTGTTGAAGACACCCAAACAGGATACGCACGAAGACGCCCAAACAGCGTATTGTCTCTAAACTTACCGCTGAGACAACCTTGCTTCCAGTTAAGACAACGTTGTGTCAATCCATAGCACAACGAGTGGATGTGCCTCGAGGTTACTGTAAGAGTTTGGGTTTAGGCTTCTTCAAGCGGATTCCGTGTGCAGCTGCTCCAAGCGAAACGTGCATGGGTTGATAATAGAGCTCTTCCTTAAAATCAGACTATAATGTGATCATCTGGGTCGAAACATTAGTCTAATTCCTCATGCCCCAGTGTCTCCTGTCGATGTTTCGACTTCTGCTGCACCTTCCACTCGTGCAGTCTGGACACTGATATAGGGGCCTTCATCGCAGAGGAATGGTAAATAGTATTTGTGTTGCTCCGGCTTCTATGTTAGAGTGACTTTATAGTCGCGTTCTAACTACATGATTTCAGAACTACACGACTGAAGGAGAGCCTTATAATAAGGCCTTGCGCATAAATCTCGCAAAGCCTCATTTTGCAATGAAGCTGCAAGCCCCTTCCAAGCACTAGAAGCCCTTAAACCCTATTGCCCCTTGTTTGAAGTTCTTCTCTAGGAGCTGCGCACCGAGTTGTCCGAGCGTCGACGCGCGGCGGAGCTGGAGGCAAACTGTTGGTGTTGGGTTTGGGGTTCCAAGGCCTATAACCCTAAACCCCCCTAAACCCTACAGCAGCAGAGCCAACTCGTAGTGGGCACATCGGGACCTAGTGCCTCCGACTTCTCTGAACCTAGGCACATAGTGACATTTATCATATGGGGGTTTCCGAAAATAGGGGACCCTAATATAATACCCCAAATAGTAGGATCCTTATTATAAAGACCCCCAAATTAGGTACCTCTATTTTCGGAAACTCCTATATAGTGCCTCTGACTTCTCTGAGCCCTAAGCTGCGTGATGCGAGGCAGTCTGCATGATGGGTAAAAGGCATTGCCACAGCTTCTTCAGCTCGAGCTCTGAGCAAAGCGGGCCCTAAACCCTAAACTCTAGAGGCGCTAAAAAAAAAACCCAAACCCTAAACCCTAAACCGTACTGGAGTATCCTGGGATAGCCCTAAGCCTATTTGAACCCTGAAACCCTCGCTTGCAGGCAGATGAAGCTTTGGCTGAAGCCGTGCAGCGACAGGAGATGAGCTTCGAGGCCAGCGTTGCGAGCTTGAGATGAGCTTCGCATTCTTTAGCATACCCATCGTAGTAATCATAGGATCTTGTGTGAACTCTAGAGGAAGAAGGGCCTCTTGTGAATTGTTCCCAAGGCTTGCATTACTTGCCTGTGACCTATAATGCCTGACATTTACCCTCCTCGGCACCTGATGGCCAAGCTATATGGCATAAGAGGTTTCAAAGGTTTGTTCGGTAAAGCGGCTGTCTATTCGCAGGGAGCGATACCTGCACAAGACCGATGAGGGTTTAGCATGTCGGGCAGAGGATTTTCGGTTCTCCTACAGCCTTCAACCCCAAACCTAGGGTTTACACCGTACACCTTTACGGAAAGAGTTGCTGAGAAATCAGGCCGAGAGACAAAATCTCGAGAATGCTGCCGAGCGAAATGGTGCTGCCTTGGTGGAGGCGGGTCTACATAAGGTTTACGGTTTCCGGGTTTGGGGCCCATGCAGGGTTTAGGGTATAGGCTACAAGTGTAGTCCAAGTTTAGGCTTCATAGTTGTTTGGTTTCGGATTTTGAGTTCAGGGTTTGGGTTTTCGTTGGTTTGGGCTTAGGTTTAAGCCTCGGGCTTAGGGTTCGGGAGGTTCGGGTTGAGGCTTTCGTTGTTTTAGGTTTCGGGTTTAGGGTTTGGGCGGGGTGTGTCGATGTCGGCACTGCTTGGAGGATCATGGGACTTAGTAAGTAGGGTTATAAGTACCTTAATTGGGTTATATGTATAACTAGAACTGTAGTTACTTCACTTATAACCCTACTTACTAAGTCCCATGATCCTCTAAGTGGATGAGGAGTTTCAGGGTTCGGGATTTTCGCGATGGGCCCAGGACTTCTCGGACTTGGTTGGATGATATACCCTAGCCCTGAATAACCTACCTTTTCAGGGTTCCTTGTTATGACTTCTCTATATAAGTCCGTAAAAAGTGTAGGTTCTTCGGGGTTAAGGTAGAGCTTGCAGGGCAGGATTTCGTATTTATAGAATGTTGAAATATCGACATTGCAAAATGGGCTCCTGCATGGGTGTTCGTTGAACGCTCCTCATGCGTAGACTTGCCGTTTACTCATCTTGGCCTGACTGTAGTCAGCCCTCCGTTGCTTGGCGCTTCGATTTACGGTCTCCGGACTTTTAAACGGCTCGGACTCTCGGCTACGATTCGCCGCCAGGCGCGCGAAGAGTCTGCGCGGGCCAAAGACCAGTGCGAGGACTCGTCACTGGCTTTTTCGCAGGTCGTCTGAGGCTGAGGGTTTTTTGGGGGTGTCTATGTCGAGTTGCCTTTCGTGGAAGATGCCTGCCCCAAACCCCGTCATGTGCCTCTTGCACCATCCCTACATACCTCCTTCCAAGCGCACTCTCGCAGGAGCGGCAGCGGGTGCTGGACGAGATGTCCAGGGAGCTGCAGGAACGCGACGAGCCTGCAATCAGTGAGGGTTTCGCGCTCAGACTTACTGCGAGAAAGATAGCAGGGTGCTATCCGGAAGCCGAAAGGGTTCTATAAGGAAGTTACACGACGGGTTCTACACATCTGTTCGAACGGAGTGTACGGCTTAAGGTTTGAGTGCTTGAACTGGTAGTCTGAGGTTAGGGCTTCGGGCGTCTGGGGGTTGACGATTTTTTGTTCGGTGAGCCGGGTGGGTACTTTGCTTTGAGAACCTCCCATACCAACGCTCTTGCAGTTTACTGCAAGGTTGCGTGGCGTACTGCAGTTGTGGCACGCTCCCGCTGATGAACAGGAGGACAGCAAGCACACATAGTCACTACGACACTATACGCTACACGCATGCACACATGCTCGGAGGGATGCCTGTTGAACTGCGAAGCTCCCCGAGCCTGGGCCCGGAGCCGTATCGTGAGCTCCTAAAGTCCGGAAAGTCCCGATCTCCACGAGATGGCACGTGAACCTCAGAAACCATGGGGAAACTAAAGCCCCAGAGATGTCACAACAAGGCACCTCGAAACTCCTCTGTCCGTATGGCTCGTCAGAACGTTCCCTAGTAGTCCCTAATCGTCACCGTATGAAGCTGCAGTAATTATGGAATAATGCACCCTCAGACCCATTCTAACTATTAGTGAGACCTTATTTGCAGAGAATCCGACCTCTCAGGCAAGCGCCAAGGCCAAACACTCTCGAAGGAAGCAGATGTGGCGCACCAGCGGAAGCGCCTTTGAACATACGGTTTCGTTTCGGTGTTGTTTGTGGGCCTCGAGGATGTGCTGGTCGTTAAACCCTGATCACCCCTTGTTGTTACAAGATACATACCAGATTCGACTTTTCTACGGAATTTAAAGATTGATGTAGCTGAAAGACTGATGCATATATGCGTATATATATATATATATATATATATATATTGAGTATACGTATATATGAATATGTACACCTAGAGATACAACTACATACACACATACACACATTCCTGCATAAGTTTGTACATGCATAATTACATACACACATACACACAGACATACAGACATACATATATACATAGGTATGAGGCATCAAAGCTGCAAGTCCTGAGCCCAACACTTGCATCTTCTCAACCCAGCACCTGAGCAAGCTGGTCGTGTACAGTCCACGGTTCAATCAGTTGGACATACTGAAGCCACCGCTCTCTCTCTATCTCTCTGTGTCTCGCTCCGTCCTCGCTCGCTTTGTTCTTCGCGACCTCCCAGGTTGCGCCACGAGAACGACGGAAGAGAGCTGAGACGGAAGAAGGATTGTCGGCTTCGTGAGTCCTGCCCGATTTGGGGTTTAGAGTTTTGGGGAGTTACACTTCCGGGGGAGTGAGAGAGGTCTGGCGTGCGGCTTCGGACCATCATCATCGTCGCTGTCAGCGTTACCACCAGAATCACCAGCATCCTCGTCCACATCACCAGCGGCTTCGCCATCGTCGCAGACAACGCATGTCAACACATTCCCAGCACAGCAGCAACGGCACCAGCATTCCCGGTGATTGGAATATTTTAATTAATATGGATAAAATTGGTGATAAAATTAATTTTATAATAAATTTAAGCACAGTCGGCAGCATCCACCGACTCCCTCTCCTCCTTCGGCCCCCTCCCTTCCTGCTGCTGTTCTTCCTTCCTGTTTTACTTCCGATGCTTCTTGTAGAAGTCATGTTAATCATCATGGCCGTCATCGTCATCACCACCATCATCGTCTTAATCACCATCGCCATCACCATCATATTTAGCATTTCGGCAGCAGCCTGCTCATCAAGATCACCAGTGACAACCTGATGATCACATTCAAGTTCTGTCATCACCACCTTAAGAGTGTCTTCCTCGTCATTTCCACCATCATAAGCAGCAGCATCATCCTCGTCGTCATCATCACCACCACCACCATCATCTTAGTAGCTGACTGGATACACTTTACACTTGCTGGGATAATGTTACCCACTACAAAACCAAAAGTGTATTCTTTTGGGGGCTTATGAACTCAGCAACTAAGTCATAAAATCCTGGGGCCCTTGAGGTAAAGACCCCTTCAAGCAACCTCTGCCGAATGCGAAGGCGCTGCTGGAGCGAGGTCTCGGGAACCCGGCTGTTCCCTATGCCGAGGCAACAGAGTTCTTTCTTGGGTTTAGGGCTTAGGGTCTAGGGATTTAGGGTTTAGGGTTTGTTAGAGGACCCATATAGTACCCTTAGGGTATCCCTAAGAGTATCCCTAATAAGTTGAAACTGCGTGGGTTGATTGGCATGAGCATGGTGTCATTTTTTGCTAGCTTTTTTGGGCATACTTCGGACTGCGTGGAGCTTGATGCGCATTCCATTCATTTTATTTGCTTGGGCTTGCGAATTTTTTTGTGTTTTCACATCTCCATAGACCTGAAGACGTCAACGTGTGGCTGCTCGCTCGGGGTGCACTGGGTACACGAGAATTCGCATGATGAGCCGCTCAGGCCGCTTCCGGCCTTTGGGGTGTTAGAGTTTGAGGCTTGTTTCGGTTTAGGGTTCAGGGTCCTCTCAGGTTCTATCTCTGGTTGGACTCTTTTTAGCCAGGTTCTAGAAGTCAAGGATTGAAGTCAGTGAAGTTGAGGCGCTATACCGTGGAGTTTCAAGAGCATTCGAGGAAGGAAAGTTTGGGAGCGCAATGAAGCTGCTGGAGATCTTGAAAACTTTGAGGGTCCATGTATTCAAACAGTATTTTGAATACACTATGGCCTCAAGGTACCTATATCGGGATTACTTTACGGCCAAAGTGGATAATGTGGGAAGCTGATTAAGACACCCTGGGCCTATAACCCCAAAATAATCGGATTCGTATAAGGAACCCTAATCAAGGCCCCTGGTTTCTGACTGCATTACTACTTGGGCACATGGACTCTTAGGGAAGATGTCTCGGAGTTTTGTCGACTTCGTAAGTAAGTTCGCCTCTGAGCTCCCTTATGAACTGGCTTTAGGGTCTGGGGGTGTAGGAATAGTTGAGTCATATTCAAACTATAGAATATTAGGACCTTCATAGTAGCCCGATTATGGACTATTACTGTATGGGGCAGTACGTAAGGTTTAGGGTTTAGGTGGGGCAGTCACCCTAAACCCTAAACCCCTAAACCCTAAACCCCTAAACCCTAAACCCCTAAACCCTAAACCCTAAACCCCTAAACCTTAAACCCTAAACCCTAAACTCCTAAACCCTAAACCCTAAACCGCAGTCGGCAACAAGCCTGACCGAGTGCTTTCCTGACTGCGAACTAGGAGTCAAAAAAGAGAGTGCAATGACACGAGAGAAGCCAGTAGGTATCTTGTCATGATTTTGGGTGCTGCTGTCATTGCACATAGAGATTCCACTCATTATTGCTTTCCTGCATCGTAGCAATTCGAATCAAACAAGGTAGACAGAAGAAGATATAGTTAGTCAGTCCATTTTCAATGGATTGCCTTGTGATCTCCGACATGGGCGGCATCCCGGCTAGTGTGCCGGCCTCTTGGTTGGCGGAGGAAAACAGATGCTATTGTTGTTGTTGCTTGGCATTCGACATAGGGACATCTGAGTGAGCTTGGTCTGCAGGACAACAAAGCCGGAAAGTCAGCAGCTGACACTTCTGACAAAGCGCCGTGCGAGAAGGCGTGGGCAAAGGCATCAGGTTTGCGGACAGTTTTCATTTGTCTTTTGACAGTATGTGCTCTGCCCGATGCACGAGGTCTATGTCCTGAGCTTAGTTAGACCTTCGACCGCATCATCCCGCCTTGCTCCTTGTTTTTGTGATGTCTCTGTCCTACTCAGGCCCGCAATTGCCGGCTTCTGGCGGCAAGCAACGCTCGCATGGCAGAGAGCCAGACTCCTTACCTTGGAGTCGACGGTTTCGTTGAAGAAAGTTGGAAGGCAGGAGAGCAAGCAAGGGAGGTGTAGAGAGCATGCAGAGTTGCACTTGGATGCAGGTGCCTCCTGTCCCAGATGGGAAGTACGATCTCGTCATCTGGGGTAGCCCTCGCGGTAATGTTCGGACCTTCAAATTGTCGTCCTTCTTTTGTCTTCCTTGTCAGTTTTTGTTAAGCTGCCAAGGTCTGTGACGGCAGCACCGGCACAGGGGGGTGCTGTGCTGACAATGCAGAGTACAAAAGTCGGGCCTTTTGCAGCATCAGCTGGAAGTCAGCAACTCAGCTAGTGCACATCTCTGTGTGCGTGTATGTTTGTGCAGCATATCAGAGCCACAACGAGGAGCCAGGCTACTGCCATTATGCTGTACCCCAGTTACTACAAGACAATAGACTTTTGGGCGGCTCCAGCAGGCCAGATGCTTGCTTGAGGAGGGTATGCGTTTGCGTTTGCTTGTTTTGCCTCGAAACATTCCTTCCTCATTATTAGGCCGCATCCTCATGGTGTGAGAGTGTTGCAGCAGTCAGGCCTTCAGCACTGTGAGACTCTGCACATATGCAGACTCAGGCACCCTTTTTCATGGCACAAGGCGAATACCGAACGCTTGCCTCATCACTTGACGAGACCACAGTCCTTGATCCAGAGGCCACCATATTAATACGAGTTCTTTGTGCTGTTTGCAATGCAGTTGTCCGCAGCACAGGCTGAGCAATGTATGGCAGCAATTTCCCTCCACAAAAAAACAGGAAACTACTTGTGTATACGGAGGCGCGCAGCAACAGCAGTTACTTGTCCAGTTTGCATGTCTCTGTATTTCTGCTGCTTACAGGATGGAGCCATGGACCTCTACCCGACCTTGCACAACATCCTGCAGCAGTTGCGGAGTGAGGCCAAAAGACGCACCACATCACCACATACTGTTTGTTGTTGTTGTTGTTGTCAGTGTTGCCCTTCTGCTGTGCTCAGGGTAAATATGCGCTCAGTCTCGGAACGTACATCGGCAATTTAGAGGTCGGGTTGGCGCAGTCTGAGCCTTATTTGAACTTCCTTGCTTGCGCCTTTGCGTTTTGGTATCTGCGTGAGCTTTTATTGTATAAGGTACATCGCCTCCAAGTCTTGAAAAGCACTGCCAAAGTGCCGTGCAAGGCAGATGAAGCAGAAGTTCTTCAGTTTGTTATCAGGAGCAGAACACCAGGGAGCTTTGGCACAAAAAATGCAGGCCTGCTATTGACCGCACGACACCAGCAGCACAGAATAGCATCCGAATAGACGAAAAAAGAAGTGATTTGGCTAACATGTGCATAGGTGACAAACTGAGAGCATGTAATGCAACATCATCTCATCTGCCTGCTGACAGCTTGTTAGGCCCGAGCAGCGCTTTTAGCATAGCAGACTCTTACAGTCTTCTCCTCGTCCACAATGGATCTCCTTCACAATGTGCTGATGCAGTTTCTGTGCAGCACGGAAGTTGTTAACGGCACAGAGTGCTTGAAGTTCCTGGTGGATATGCAAAAAGTCCTGGATCCTTGCCCACAGCACAACAAGAGTCCGGAGGGGTGGAAGAACCCCGGCGAAACTGCTCTGATTTTTCATAGTACAGACTTGAGTGCTTTGGTGCAGGCCAATGGCTTCTGCCGCGGCAGTCGAGGCATCTTGCAGGATCACGCCTTACACACTTCCGTCAATGGTCACATGGGCCGATTCGGAGTGTTTGGCCACGGCACCAGTCAACAGGCCTTCCTGTGCCTGAGTCGCGAGCCTACTGCTTGCTTCTTGGAACTTGAAGCCAATTATTTACTAGTTGTGCAAGGAGGCATGCGAGATAGGTGGGTGGCACCTGGTAAGCCAAACACGGCCAAATGCCACTGCCGGTTGAAGGCAATTTATGTAGTTCGTGCTGGCTTTCCTGCCAAGCCCAAGCCAGCACGAACTACAATGCCTCCTCCTCCTGCGGCATCAGCACCACACTACTCGGCCGCCATGGACACAAAGTTGTTTGAGCCCCAATCCCTTTGTCGTTGCATTCATCCTTATGCCGGCATAGAGCATCGCAAAGAAACTTAACAGCCGTGTTCGGTCGCTATCATGATGCGAAATTTATGCCATGCCTCCAAGAGACTCGATATCGCTTTCGCCACACGAAGGTACTTGGATGTGTGCCGTCAGCGTCATGACTTGCATCTCATCTCTGCTCTGGATGGTCCGTGCTGGTTTGGGGGCGACTTCCCGCCTGTTCGGCTACTGGTTTGGGGGGAACTTTCCGTAAGCAACATCTGGAAACATTGAAAGACATGAAATCCAATATGATAGCCGTCCTTGCTATCGTACAGCGATGACGTGACCGCAGCCTCAACTGCATTGGGCTGCCTTCTTAAAGTAGCTTTCATGTTCGTTTCATGGGCAGGAGAGACACATTTTCAGGTTTAACGACTGTAGAGCAACAACACTGTGGCCTCGTTCTTCTTTCCATTTGCTAACGCAAAAACAGGGATGCTGTTGGGGGCGCTGGTTTCTCTTTGCTAAAGCAAAAACAAGGATGATAAAGGAAAAGCCATGCCACGGGTTTCTAAACGTGAGTTTAGGAACTAAACCCTAAAAGGCGGAGCGGGCTTAGGGTGGGAGCCGCTCTCTACGGCGCGGGAGGGCATTACAGTCGGTGCGGCCGAAGTCGGCCCCGGTATATCGTCGCTCCTCAGCGCATTCCGAAGCCGAAACTGTTCCTTATCAGACGTGTCTGCCCACGCGGCATCATACCGTTGTCCGTTCGGCCGCTGGCAAACCTTAAACCCTAAACCCTAAACCGCTAAACCCTAAACCCCTAAACCCTAAACCCCTAAACCTTAAACCCTAAACCCTAAACCCCTAAACCCTAAACCCCTAAACCCTAAACCCTAAACCGTCAGAAGTGCTAGTTTTGGGTTCGCAGCTCTCCCTGGATCTCTGGGCCTGAACTTCTTGGCGAATTCCTAGATTCCAGGGGGAAAAGCAGCGACCCTTAATGGCGACCCCTACCCTATAATGGGCTATATAATGGGTATATAATAGCTATATCAAGGGTATATACCTAGGGGTCCGTATTAAGGGTCCCTCCTTTCACCCTTGGATAGATGGTCTTGAGGGTGGACGTCTGCAGCCAGGGAGTTGACGCGAAATCGGTGAAAGAATGGATGCACATGTGTTTTCCGCTTTTGTCACATGGGCGAAGCCATTCACAAACTGGAGGAACACCATTCCCAACAGGGAGACTGCATCAACAACGTGCAAGTGTTCGCGGCATTTCAGATGCGTTCCGCTCGCTGTTGTTCATGTTCCACTGTCCCATGCGTTCACGCGTTCGCAGGGGTTGTGATCGAATTCGGGGCTCAGTTGTCTTGGGGTATGGCAGGGTCTTGGAATGTGGCAAGGAAGGCTCTCCGCCCAGGGGCGTGTCCATGGCGGGTGTTGGAAAGCAGCAATCAAATGGCGAACGGCGCCTAAGCACATTTGGGCTTGTGGGCCCTTGCAGTTGCTTTCTTGACGGCTATTCCTACCTGCACACCAAAAGTATGTAGAATAATGGTCTTTTACAGGCTTTGGGCCATAATAACCTACTCTTGATGGTCTAGGTAATTGTTTGTCTTTCATTGAGTTGAACGGTTCAGGTTCTTGCCTTCAGGAGTTTCGCTGCGATGAGTACATTACCACAAGGGCCGTAATACTTACCTATACTATTTTGAGGGTTCCTTATCATAACTATGGTAGATTATACCCCAAAACCTTATTGAAAGTATTAGGGCC